AGATTAAATTGAGAAATAATAACGATACAAAATTATCACGAATATGTTTGAAACAACAAGTGCGTAATGACTTTTTATTTTAACATGTTTTATACAACTTAGAATGGCAAACAAGCTGACGGTTCACCTGATGGACAGTGGTAACCGTCGCCTATAGACATGAGCAGTACCATGGACATAACAGAGTATACCGTTTCACCCATGATACCCCCCATGCGTTGCCATTCCTGGGGACTCAGGTGTTATTCCTCTGTACCCTGTAAATTCACGCCATATCCCACCCTTCAAACCGAAACACAGTCATGCAAACACAACTGCTTCACGGTTGAAACACGAATAGGACAGAGGTACCCAAGTAATCGACTTTTGTACAAAGTCTCCCTCTGGTAAAACAACACAAACACAAGTTAACATATGGAGGGTACACGAAAATGCGGCTCATTTAATGGTAAGTAGTTACCGCCGTATACTAAAGGCAAAAGTGATTTTTTTTGTCTTAAAAACATTGTTAGAAATACAACGGAATACAACTATTTATACACAAAAGCGATGCGATTAAAAGTAAATATTTGTATGCATTGAAGATCAATGAAAAAAGAACCCACTGTCCCTCGGATCACGTTGGAAAATTGTATCAACAGGAACCTTTTGATCCACGAAATAGCTACTTCAAACGCGTACACACACAACTGCGCCAATGACCCGCGAGACGTTAAGTAGACACATTACATCGAAAATATTTCAATTTAGAACGTGGACTCACCTATCTATAAGTTTTGTATATATTTTGCTTCACAACAAAGTGTTCTTGTTCTAGAAAGAAAAACAGCACATCCAGTTGTCACAACATTAATGGGTCCAATCATCTGGATGAGTGGCGTTGCTCCACTGCGTGTTTCTATAGGCACTTTCTTCCACGTACAACCAAAACATGGAAGTAACTCCTAGCAACAGTATTTTCGAATAGGTACGACATTGAAACATTCGAGAAAAAAACACATTTTTTCTTGAATGGATGGCAACACATCTGCAATTAATTTACTTGATGTTGCCGGCGACGGTAATCACTTACCATCAAGGGACCCGCATGCTCGTTTACCCTCTATGTTATAAAAAAAAAACACGAGAGAAAACCCATTCTGAATAAAATGTTGCCCAGCGCCATCTTTTATCATCGCACCGCTGGCCATCAACAGGGAATTCATCTTTGCACGCTAAAACCCAAACAGTCGTGTACAATGCGGATTCAGAAGAGGTTCCTCTCGCGATTGCTTAGACTGTGCAATTAACTTCCTGCTGAGGTTTTTCCCTAGAGACTACAGAATGGAGTTCTTCAAAGAGAACGTATAAAGTTTCTTCAGGATCAGCACCGCGTATGTGAGATCCCTAGTGTTATAAGTGTCCGTAGATTACAGTGACAGTTTACCATTAGACGAGCTGTATGCTTATTTCACATCTTTGTATAAAAAACCCTATTCAGTAGTAAAAGAATCGCGAAAATCGGTCCAGAAATAGCAACATAATGGTTTAACATAGTCATAAAAAATGTCATTCGAGTTGAAAGCCTTCTTCTTTTGAAAGTCCCTTAAAAGTAGGCACCAAAAGGTTTAGAGGGGAAATAATTTGCAATATTCAGATGCAGTAAATTAGTTTATTTGTAGAACGAGGACCAAGTGCGCTCTTTTTGCGGCGTCGGAAAAAGTCGGCCGGACGTTACCTGTTATTATGCGGTCTCTATTTTCGTCTGAAAACGCTCGAGCGGTCGTAGGGTTGGCAGATAGTAAAAAGTAATGTACAAAAAAAATACACGTCATGGGGAGATAATTATAGATATGAAAATTTCGTTATAAAAGTGTAAAATTTTATCAATTGTGTATGGTTTTGTGTCTGCATTTAATTAAAAAAAAACAGGGTTTTCAGATATTTTCTTATAGCCCTTAGTTAATTAGAAAAAGTTCGTTCACATTCTTATTACAAAGTTATATATATATATATATATATATATATATATATATATATATATATATATATATATATATATATTAATTAATATTATCATTAGTACTTGGTCCATGAATGAATTTCTCGGTTGAAGGCTTCAGTTTTGTGTTTCCGTTGGTATTTATGATAACCTACCACAATCAAGCTTTTAGTTGAGGTAATTTTGTACAAAATATTTTTAATAATCTCATATTGGGTTTGCTGGTAGAAATCTCTTTTAAAGATAAGCTCACCTATTATACACTATTATGTATAATTATTATTTTTATATAATTTAGTGTTTAATTTTTTATTTATTTATTTAAGGTAAACAATATATAATAGTAAAAATAAAGAGTAAATATGTTTTATCAAGATTACAATAACTTTTGGCTCGTTTTATCAAAAATCACCTACACATGATCTCTCTTTGATCTTATACCTATATAGAGGGCAAATCGGACGTATTTCCAATATTAATCCGAATGATAGGCGGTGGCAACCCTATTAGTAACTGCTGGGCGCTGTCTGATCCAATCTCGCGGCGACCGCTCGCCTGTCATATCGCAGCGAACGGTAATATCTCAACACCTGTGCCGACTCCAGCACCTTCATAAGTTTTTCGACACTTTAATCTTGAAAGTTATTTGTTCCTCTCACTCCAAATAGGCGATCGCGGTGTTATGGCAGGACTTGGGAGTGATTATAATGAACTCATTAATTATAACCTGCTTTTGAATGGACGCTTGAATTAAATAGCGTGTGAACAGCTTTATTGGCGTATTTTTCACAGCTCTACAAATTAAGCAATTTTGGTAGTGTATTAATGCGTCGATATGAAGACATATTTCGTATAAGTCGTGTAGCAGTTTCTTGTGAGATTACGATAAGAGATTTATATGTGTAATTTTTTATACTTAATTACTAGCTGTTTCCCGTGGCTTCGTCCGTTCGGTTCTCACTAATACTCGTCGCTGATGTAAAATCTGGAAATCTATTTAATCTAAAACCAATATAGGACCTTTTTACAAATTTTCAAAGTTATATATATAGTAAACTTATACTGATGTACCGAATACTCAACATTATCATCAAATCAGCCGTTAACTGTCCACTGCTGGACATAAATCCCATAACTTTCCATCAGATGGGCCGTCAGCTTTATTGCCATTCTAATTTGCATATAAAATAATATACAACTGATCATCGAATTCACTTTATTTTTCTACTGGCATTGTTCTTTACACTTATTTAAACCTTCGTCAATGAAAATAAAAAAAAAAAAAAACAATATCTACAGATATTAAAATTATTAACAGTATGATATTCACATACCTAATAGCATAAAGGGCAATTCTGCTGTGGGCAAAATTGCCCGTCGCACAAAAGTCGAACATAACACTAAATAGTGTTTTTATCTCGCACTGCATAAGAGAAAATAATTTAGAAACGGGAACATAATGTACAATTTTGAGAGACGCACAATTATTACGGCGACAACTTGTGATTGATGGACAGTAGAATCAAATGGATGGCCACGAATCTGTTGGATAAAAAGATAAATTGCCGTTAAGACTATTTCTTGTCGCACCCCAAAAAAAGGTCCAATATATTGAGCAATAATATGTGGCAATCCATCAATCGTGGACGTGAAAATACGCGAGTTTTCAACACGTGTCTGTAATTGTTTAATTTAATTAAAATTCAATACAGAAATATACTTTTTCTCTCATGTACCACACGTAAATTAATAAATAAAAATAAATCAGATTAATTAAAAATTGGTAAATGATTTATAAAGATTAAATGAGTAAATCCTATGATTCATGACCCTTCTGTATGAAGAGGCGTAGAAAGTAGGAGTCTTTATTAATTAGCTAATAAAGTTTTCCGGCCAATCTCCTAGATGGCGTTAGTGTCAAACAATCACATTATGTTTTATACATTAACCACACGGAGAAAGTCACAAGTAAAGGTAGTAACAAATAACACAAATTTGAGTTCTGTACAATTTTAAAGATTTCAGAGTCAAGATAACCGATGTTCTTGTATATGGAAAGCCATCATAGAGATCAAACCAAGCACCTCTTCAACACACATCAGTACCGAGGTCTAATCGTTAAGCAGTGAAATGCCTTTGTTCTTACTTAGCATCGTTCATATTTCTTGTCCAAAGCATCTGATATACGATACGCCTTCAAAGAATATGTGATGGAAAGGATACCGACACAATTTTATCTTCGATTTGGAATTCACGAGATTTGAAAAAGTGCCTTCAGATTTTATTTTATACTACTTAGAATGGCAAACAAGCTGACGGCCCACCTGATGGAAAGTGGTAACCGTCGCCTATAGACATGAGCAGTACCATGGACATAACAGAGTATACTGTTTCGCCCATTATACCCCCTATGCGTTGCCATTCCTGAGGACTCAGGTGTTATTCCTCTGTACCCAGTAAATTCACGCCATGTACTAGAAACAGGCTATGTTTGTATTATCTGTTCCAAGAGTCCATTTAATCTATTCTCAGGAGTGGATTCACGTTGCATAAACAAGGAAATTATATAATTCGTATTGCATAAGAAGCACACTATCAGAGACAAACCACTCAATTATTTTCATATAAACGTGCTGTAACAACTAAATAATAGTCAATTACAAACAGTATAACTGAGCAAATCATTTCAAGGCACCATTTCAACTAAATTAGCAATGTTTCGAGGAAAAGCTACGAGTATAATGGAAGTATCCGAAAGTGATGATCAATTATGAATGAAGCGTAAAATGGACGTTTCATAAGATAGAATTATTGAGTTTTAAGTCCATAATTTGAAAACTAAACCATTAAACTATAAGAATAATACTTATGCATCCAACATCACTGTTGCGTGGGGCAATAACTGCAATTACTTGATTACTTATAACTTTGCAAATAGAGTCGTTTCTTTTTATTATTCTTGAAGCATGCCCAATCTGTTCAATGATATTACAAGTTGCACATATTAATAAAGGTTAAGCAATGTCGAAACAGTCAATAGAGGTGTACAAAAATGTATTTTTAGTGCAAATGTAAACACTTATGCACTTTTATCAGGTAATCAGGTTTTGCTAGTATCGGATAGTAGCTATTCGGATAAATTTTTCAACGCCTTATCAGAACCTGTCTGATTGAGGTAGAATTTAGTCTAGATTGAAATCTATTAAATTCGTGTTACGCTATCAACTACTATCACTCTTCTAGCGTATACTAATAGCGTAGACGGGGTCACTATTCCGTTTGCATCCATAAAAACTACTATCGTTCTTTCTTAACTCTTCTTAAGCGTTAAACTCTCAACGCCTCTCGTTCAAAATATGATTTTAATAAGACTATTAAATTCTTCTATTTTAAAATGTGTCTAAGAAAAAGTTGAATTTAACAAACTTCACATATTTCGGTTACTATCGTAGTAGAAAGATTAGCCAATTTTTGGGGATATGTCAAAAATATTTCAATTGGACTTAAACCTGTTTTTTTTTGAGCTGTATTTACTAAGCTCGTTCCTTTCTCACAACATTCCACCACTAGACAAAAATAAAGTTAAAGAGAACACACTTCATAGACAAGTCACCCCATTTGCGGTCACGTACAATGTTTTGTTCGCTCAATCATCGTCGATCATTCGCCGTCCGTACTGGTTTTTGTTTACAGCTGTTTTGTACCCCGGACCCGTGTGACAACACCATTTAGCCTTAACTGGCCTTAATAACGTTCTTCTGGACTCTGTTGAAGACTTCGAGAAATACTTGTCATTGATTATTTTTTTCTGAAATTTCTTGTAAATATAAAGCAATAGTCTGAATATAAACGTAAAGTAATTTAATATAACTCTTTGATATATAAATAGTAAAAGTTGTTTCGTAACAACGAAGCCAGATTACAAATATCAAGTAAATCGCATAACAGTGAAACAAGATCCAAAGTTCAAAATGATGAAAGCCCGACTAACTCCACAATACGATTTTCTTAGAACACACTATTTGAAGTAAAAATGTCGTTATTTCGAGATGCTGTATACGCTCAAAGTTTTAGATTACAGCCCGTACGAGACGTTGACATTCGGTATGTGCGAGTAAAGCTCGCGAGCCGTTTGTTGTAATAAAGGAGCGAGCCTCTACAGTTATTAAAATATCACCTGTGCTCCTTTAAAAATTTTATGAGAGGCGCGAGAGGCGAGCGTCTAGATGCCGGGGGCGCAAGACGCTTGCGGCAAATCCACTCAGAGGCGCGGCGCGCTGCAACGATGCCTCGCCTTCCTCTCTAAATAAAATATCAACGTCCGAGAACCCTCGTCTGCCGGTTGCCAGGTCTGCATTTCATTCTTACAATATTTACCGAGATACATTTCACCTATATCGGTAAAGGTTACACTCACCCGTTCCCAATATAATTCCGTCCCATGACTGCGCATTTACCTGAAACAAAGAATTTAAATTTCATGAGCCTTTAAATGGAATTAAAGCAGCGTTATGCAAATAGGCATTAAGTGAGGGAATAAAACAAAAATTACCGTACACGTCTAGCACGGGCGTTTAATATTTAATCCGGCACGGTTCTCCGGACCGGGCGAGTTGTTTAAGCACGAACGCATTATGAATAAACACGGAGCAATTTAAGTGGTAGGGCAGTGTGGGATATCATTGTCGTGAGTAGTCGGCGTCCGAGGAGGCGGCCGGCTCGTACGCGCCCAATGCTACGATGTAAACAGTAGGCTGCAGGACGCAGGGCGTCAAGGGGCCTCCAGTGGTGCCGAGTGCGGGCGCTGGCCGGGGCCGGTGCAGGGCGGCGCGCAGGGCAGAGGGCGCAGGGCTCCGCGGCGATCGATACTGCTCACGTGCGCTCCACGCGGCACGCCGCTCCGCACATTCTTTGTTCTCACACGCCGAGTTATCGCCTCACGACGCCCTTTATTAACTTCCGCGCGATATTTCGCGTGACAATATAATAGTCGTCGCAAGCATTGGCGCATACGTTTTTGGGCGATCGCGTGCCGGCGTCGCCGGCAAATGCATCGGAGACGTTGCGCCGGCAGATTACTTCTGAGGCTCGACTAACAAAACGTCTGGCGAGGTCTTTTGTGACGTGAACTAAGAGATAAAAAGCGGTGGCAATTACGTGTTGCAGTGAACGCAACAAGTTAGTACGGTGCGCGAAATCTTTGTCTTGGCGTTTTTGAAATTGGACACGTAGTGGCCAGCAGTGGCCGTGGAAAAAACACGACAGATCTGAATGTAATCGTGACTTGGCGTTGGGGCCACTCCCTTATCCTTTGTTTGAGACAAGGACGCCCATCCTGAGAATAGGCATTTCACATTCCAACCCATTGCACAGTACATTCACTCATGATGAATGACATCTCCCTCCCTTTGTACACCCTTAACCTTGAAAGAACCGTGACTCAATCCGTAAATATTCGTTTAAGAATGTAGGAACGTATTTATAGCGGGTAGTGTAAGGTTCTTTGTGCCGTACTACTATATCATTCTATTGAATTATTCTGCCCTTTTTAAGAAATTTGTTACACAACAAGTTATTTTATTGTCAACGTTATTATGTAATGTTTTTTTTACGCAACTTAAAACGGCAAACAAGCTGACGGCCCACCTGATGGAAAGTTGTAACCTTAACTTATAGACATAACAAATAGACTTAACTACGCCAAGTCCTATTTAAAACAAGTAGAAATGACGATGTCAACGACCTTAACTTACATTTATCTCTTGCAAATCTGCTTTCATAACTAGACTCAAGCACGTCAGTTCCGAAAACTCTGACATAACAGATGTTTATTTATAAAAATATTTATGGAAGCGTCATTCGTTTTAGAAAAAAAAACTTGAAACATTTTTCCGTCTGTTAGTGGTTCAGCTGAGTAACAGTAGCAAGCTAACATTCTCGTCTAACGGGGAGAAACTCAAATCCAGGAGTGGGACGTTAATGGGTAGTTACGGTTATGGCATGGTAAACATTTTTAACATGTACAAACCAAAATAAATGAATGTACATACATAAACATAGAGGATATTGAAGTAAAATTATGCTTAACTAAGCCTTAATAATGTAAAACTGGTGTAGTATTGTAAACTGTAAGTATAACGAACTAATTGTAACTTTTTGGCTTATCACTAAAGTATATCGGGGAGCAGTAAAATTTAATGCGCACTCGTCTAATTTTCCCAACGAAACTACATCGGTGAGCCAATATAAAAATAAATCACGATAGAAGATATTAAAAGCTAATAATATAAAGAGCTTCAGCCGACTCGTCGGTATGTAACGACCAGTGAGGTTAAGCCACGTCGAGTGCGGCCATTACCTGGATGGGTGACCGTGTACTAGTAACTTTAGCGTTTCAAATGGTATGATAAATTTGACGCAACCACAATGATTTCGAGCGGCTTTTAGGAGACCGAGAGATTTGAGTCCGATTTTAATGGTACTTTTTTATTTAAAGGTTATCTCTCGTATAAATATATTACATAATTATGTAGAGTACTTTTTATACTTATTAACGCAGACAAAAACGTATGACAGTAAGTAATGAAGTCTTGCCAATAAAAATACGTCGAGCTGGGAAAAGTATACTAAATTGTTATAAGGGGAAACCACGCTGGATCGCCGGTACTGCCATATTTTATACCGAAAATATACAGTGTTCCCGTGGGATAGACAAATATCAAGCGACGCTTCGTGTAATACAAGTCGCGGGCATGAGTTATTTCAATGTATTATTACAATTTAAAATGTGCGCTTTGAAACGTTCTGAAGAAATCAGACATTATATATATATATATATATATATATATATATATATATTATTTTTTTTTTTTTGTTGTCTTTGTAATGGTCTTGACAAGGTCGGTATGAAAAAGAAAATATAGACGCTCCTTTCCACTTTGGGTTCGCCTTTGTAAGTTTATTTATTATTACTGTGTAAAATAAATAAATAATATGCTTATGCTTAAAAAAACCTTACGGAAAATAAAAAATGTGAATTAAAAATCTCCATATATAAAAAGTGAGTGAATGAGACAGAATACAATAAAAAGATTTAAAAAAATTAAAATCTAAAAACAGATTACACCTGTGCGAATCTGGGGCGGCCAGCTAGTTTAAAATATATTTACGGAATCAAAATGAAATAAAGGGCCGATCACATATCTCAGAAGACCATCAAAGACCTGTGTCTTTGTCGGTCCAGAGAAAAAGCTCCATTTTGACTCTGACTTTTGGAAAAACTGGAAGTAGTTACCCCACCTGTGCTATCGGTATATACTGGCGGGGCACTAGTCAGGGGTAACATGTGAGTATGAAGTCGATCAATGACCCCATCCTGACAAAATTACCAGGAATTAACCACGACTGTTTCAACGAGGCAAAGTTGAAACCCATTAACCGAGAATGATAACCCACTGATTACATAACAGTATATGTGATTCTAATTAATATTAGTAGTTGGCAAGGCGAAGTAACACGAGAACCAATTGTCGCCAGGTGGCGCGCGTTGTTCTGACGGGATAATTTAAGACACTAATAGCTACAACACACGACAGTTCTAAGAAAGCGTTATCGAACACCTACTTACATTGTCATACATATTATCGTCTAGGTAACATTGATACAAAGATTAGAATAGAATTCATTTTGCAAGAATGTAAGTGATTTTTAAATAAATGCAATAACCTCCGTACCTTGTAAATTACATGTATGAGAACAATGTAACAGTTATACAAATTACAATGTACGGTGGATGTAATTTATATATATAAGGACAGCGTTATAGTTATACAGTCCAATGTAAATTGTATATAATAAAGATTTTACAATACAATACTTATTTCGAAACACAAAGTTTCACTTATTTATTTATTAATATAAACATACACAACTCTCTTACAAAATAACTTGCGTGCAGAGTACCTTAAAAATAATGCTAATAACCAGTGGGAGACTTAGTACAAAAGTTGATTGCTTGGGTACCTCTGTCCCATTCGTGTTTCTACCGTGAAGCAGCTGTGTTTGCATGTCTGTGTTTCGGTTTGAAGGGTGGGATATGGCGTGAATTTACAGGGTACAGAGGAATAACACCTGAGTCCTCAGGAAAGGCAACGCATGGGGAATATCATAAGCAAAAAAGTATACTTTGTTATGTCCATGGCACTGCTCATGTCTATAGGCGACGGTTACCACTTTCCATCAGGTGGGCCGTCAGCTTGTTTGCCATTCTAAGTTGTATAAAAAAATAATCGATTTTCTAAACCAAAATTACCAGTCAAAAAAACATTAGGTGGATCAGAGTGGGTGTGTGTATGCCAGTCAACACCTGAACGAAACACCATATCGACAGACGTCAAATATAGTCGCAAAATGGTATAAACGAGATATCTCCAAAACTTATTAATAACTCCATTAACCCTTACAATGCTACTGTGGTTTATCATCAGCAACTAGTCGAATAAAACGTATTAAAAGAAAAAAACTTGGGTCGTTAGCAGCCGCTCGTCATTAGTTACAGTGAGATTACGTCGGTGTCGACAAGTCCACGTATTGATTGGTAGAATTGACCGGTATTGTTTACTTTGAACAATCTGGAGTTACGTGCAGGGTTACCGGTTAGTTAGGTATGTTCGTTTCTAAATATATACTTACACGGCTTCAATACAATGTTGAAATTATTATAGAAACACTCGGCACAGTACTCTCTGTTATGTACATGGTACTGCTCATGTCTATAGGCGACGGTAACCACTTTCCATCAAGTGATCTATCAGTTTGTTTGACATTCTAAAATGCATAAACAAAAATATTGGCTAAATAAAATTTAAATAAAGTCAAAAAGTTAAGAAACTCGATGCATGATTATTTTTTAAATTAATGCAGCATAGGGTTCTTCAAAAGAGGAGGTAAATAAGTTACTTCAGGATCGGCAAAATGCGCATAATACCCCTGGTATTGCAGGTATTCATAGGCTACGGTAATCGTTCACCATCAGGTGGGCTGTATGCTTGTTTGCCACCTCAGTGATATAAAAAAAAAAAGAAATTTTAGATAGATATATTTGAAATCGTTTAAACTACATCAGGCAATACAGACGCTAGCCAACAAAGTGTCGTTAAGAAACTACAATGCATTATAGAGTTACTATTTAATTCTTTTTTTTTTATATAGGTAGTTATTTTAAAATCGTTCATTTCTTTTATGTTGTCAGACGACAAAAAGTATTATTAAAGAATCTCAATGCATAAAAAAGTCACTTTTTAAAAAAATATTCCTTTAACCGTTTAAAATTTATTAGATAACACTAATGTTGCCAGTCTACAAAAAGTGCTGTTAAAAACTTCAATGCATTATAAAGCCATATTATAAAATTTATAACCTTTTAAATAGATATATTTACAATCGAATAACATTTATT